TTTTGTGTTACAAAATTCCCAACAAAAGTGTATTTTTTTTCTTTGTATTGTGGTTTCTAAAACCAGAAACTTTGAAGTCAATATCCTTTTATTAGCACCTACTGGTGCAGAAAAGGAAAACTCTCACATACAGACACTTCACAGCACTTTTCTAAGAAAAATATACACTTACAAAATATGTTACAAATTGGCACACTTAAAAATATACAAGATTTTGTAGGCGTCTTAAGAGTGATCCTTAAGCTTTATACTTCAATTGACTCTACAGATTATTTATAAAACTTAACTCTAAAAGAAAAAAGGCAAATAATTTCCTAACATTTTAAAGTTGGAGTGTCATATATGAAACAGAAACTTAGGTTACATTCATAAAAAGGGCCTCTAATGCTTTTACTTTAAATTTTCTTAAATATTTAAGGGGCTTAGGAGAGGAGAAAATGGGAATAATCATTTTCTTTAGCACCATAAATCAGTAATTTACTAAAGAGGTGCATTCAGTTTTACGGAAATTAAATTAAGGACTAGTACATTCAAAACTCTGCAGGCAGCAAACTCTTGTCAGTGCTACAGGTACCCCGTAGAGCATCTTAAGCTTTCTACCCTCCTCGCTGGGAGTTAAAAACAAAAGGCCTCTTCTGGTTTTCATTCTAAGTCTTTTCTTTTGTGCTGTAAAACTAGGCATCTCTCAAAGAGGCAAATGATTTAAAAATCTCCTTTCTTCTTTTTGAAGGGAATGTCTTTCTAAGACTCAGAAACCAGTGAGCCTGTTAGATGGACATATATCCTTCCTACCTCACGTTGAGGAGTGTTTCTTTAGTATCTATTCACCGAATACTGATTTTAAAGGCTTCATTCATACCTTCAACTTTGTACTAAGCCTCTCTCTTTTACATTGTCCCTCTCTAACGTTTTACCTCTTAGTTATGATTCTGAAACCAAGAGTATATCTCAAGTATCATGTAGCTGTAATGGGAGCTCTGAGTAAAAAATGTGCCTTAAAGGATAGCCCGAGTACTGCCATCGAAATAATGCCATACTGGCTGAGGACCCTCAAGCAGGTGACAGACAGTGTTTCCCAAGTTTAAACAGCCCAGCTAATTTTTTTTTCTCTTTTATTCAGGAACTTGAGAAACCTTTACAAAATCCCTGGCCTACATTGTGTTGACAAGATCCCTTTGTGTTACTAAAATGTTTGATTTTGGTACTCAATATAACATAATGATCTGCTTAGTGAATTTTGCGATTAGAAAACAAATCTCATATTAGTTATATTTCATAAAAAAGACATATTCCTACAGTGATGGGCAGTCATTTTTAAAAATCCTACATGACAACAAAATTCCTTAAGTTAGTTTTTCGAAAATACAGGAGAAAACAAACCTTTCTCGTTCTAGCACTAGTTGGAACTAGCGACTGCTCTGTTCTCTTCAGTGCAGAAACTTAGCTCTCTGTCTGAACACTCTTGGAAGTTTTGTGAGAGCATCCGTAAATTGAAGATGTGGCAGATTTGCATCAGACTGGTTCAGCTTGGTAAGAGCAAGCTTGCTTAACAGGTCCTTGGATATGGTTTTTCTCCTTTAGGCAGTAAATGCTGATTATAACCCACTAAAATGGAAATGCGCTAAAACCGTGGAACCTCACACAACAGAATATAGGATGCCAGCCAGAGTCGTTTACGCCTTGTGAAGCATCCTTTATGCTTCTCTGTTGCACACACATTTACCCCCGCCCCCTACCACACATACAGATGCGAGCCGGCAAGGAAAAAGTTCAGAGAAGAGGAAGGTTGTCACAAAAGCCCACCTAGCACCAAGGACTTCAGGGAGATGGCTAAAGAAGTAAGGGGCAATGTAGTGCAGGAGGTCTGAAAACATTTAGGTAAAGGCAAGGCCTTAACACATAGTTGCACGGAATAACACGAAGCCAGGAGAGAAAGCAGAATGGAAGCAGCACATGTGAGGGAGCTGGTGCACGAGACGGGTTTCAGCGCGCAAGTGTAACTCCAAACTCTCCAACAGCCTTGGTCAAGGTCACTGTTTCCACGCTCTGCTCCACGTAGCCCAGGGCAGAAAAGAGGTCAGATCTATTTGTACAGACTTTCAAGGAAGAGGAGTGTCCAACTTTCCCGAGTCACGTGACCTAATTCTGCGTGTGTGCGCGCACACACGTCTAAAAGTGGATTTGAAAGTGGCCAAGGTGATCAAAGCTAAGTTAGAGCGAGAAGATTCCTCTCTGAACTTCCGCAAGAAAACAGCTAAGGGGCTTATATCCTGGCACTGTGGGGAGATGGAATATGAGATTATAAACGAAGAAAATTTGAAGACTGAGGACTGAGATGAAGTGAGAATAAGGGAGACGACCATTTCCAGGAAAGTAAAGATTAAGTGAAATTCTTCTAGGGAGGCATTAATAGGAAGCAGCCGCTCAGAGAGCAGAGGTTTATAGGTCGTGGGAATCGGGAATTTTAGACCGAGGGGAATCTCAGAGATCTGACTGCAGATATCGGTGTTAGGGCAAAACACTCTTTGTATCATTGGTCCTCACTCCACTAAGGCAGCTGGTTGAATAAGGGATCTCCCCCAAATCAGGCCCACTATGCTGTGACGGAAAGAAAAAGAATTGTGAGAGCAGGGACGGGACCGACAAAGCCCGAAAACCGAAGAGCTCAGAACATCACATACTGAGGGAGATGTTAAGTGTAATGAAGAGAATAAGCATCTTCTGCCTCATCCTATTGCTCATTTCTCAAACTCAGTTTCTCGTTATGTCTTAATACAAAATGATTGGTCACTTACATGTTAAAAACATGTAATGTACTGTAGGCCAACGAAAAGGGCGCTTTAAAATGGCAATTCTCTTTGGAAAAAGGGGTGATCCGTGCCCTAGAATTGGCCCCAAATGAGCTCCATGGAGGAACTAAAAGAGCATCTATTCCGAAAGACTAACGACAGCAAGCTCTGACAAGGAAATTGTTTCCAACAGCGTCAGGCTGGCCTTCTACTCTACCCCACCCCCTTCTCCAAAGCTGAAGTGATACTGACAGACTGGGACAATGGATCCCATATTTACTTTTGATAAAACACTTCGTATTCATGGAAAATTTCCTTTATTTCTTCTTTCATTACCAGCAGGCGACTTTGAAGTCTGGAGTCTTGGGGATCACAGTATAGGCAGAGTTAGTGATTCCAAACCAAAATTCAGCTGCAAATCATAACAACTAAAAAAACAAAGACCAGTTCCTAGGAGCCAGCCATAGAATTTAGTACAGACAGCTAGCTAGCAGAGTGGACGAAAAGAAGAAAGCGTTCCAGTTTGATTATTTTCCCTTTTGGGTGGCAGCTGTAGAGCAGGAGACACGTATCATCTGGTGCCTTTCCAGTAATTTTCCAGGACTCATCACACACAGAGCATCAAAGCCTAGGAACAGGTCTGAAGCAGCTTCACAAAATGCTCCTCATACGCACGCAATCACACCATCAAGAACACAGGCTTGTTCATTTGACTACCTAGCCGTAAGTAGCAGAGCAGGCTGGTGAAAGGCATCATGGACTGAGAAGTGTGTATACTAGTATACGTGACAGGCTACCTTCCATTTTTCTCTGACTACTTTCAAATGTTGCTTGTCTGTTTGTGAATATATTTAGGTGGCAATAACTAGGTAGGTTCATATTTTGCTTAAATTTTTCCTTTTGAAACATCTTCCCTTTTTTAAAACCCACTTTCCCCACCCACTTATTCTCCACCCTCCCACCCACAGCCTATATATTCACAAGTTAATAGGTTAGTAACAATATTAGTAAGAATAGTAAGATTAACAACAACAACAACCAACAACATTAATAATATTAATCCCCTATATCTGTATAGCACTTTACGATCTACAAAGCGCTTTCACATCCATCATCTCATCTGTGCCATAATGCATCAGTCATCAGACACAGAGGCCTTCAACTGTGCAAGGAAAATAGATCAAATGTTAGAAGTCAAGCAGTAAATAAAGAGGAAGGAAAAGCTAGTAGCGAGAGATGTCGGAGCTGTGAAATTTAAAAAAGGGGGGTAGGACTGAATAAAAATATGATTTCAGAAATTTCTATAAAAATCGAAATATAAATTTAGCGTGTGGCATCAAGTACTAGTCATCCTCAGACTAAGTATAAATGGCCCGAATTAGTTGTTACCACAAATTGTTCAGCTTATCTGATACATGTACGTAACTCGTAGGAGTCGAACTGAGATGCCTTAACATTTTCTTTAAATTACATTGGCATTGCAAGATTAAACACTTAAAGAACACTAAAGCCATGATATGAATGCACTTGACAAAACTGGAACAAAACATTTAGGAAACTACTTAAATAAAAGCAATCTATGTACTTCATCTATCATTAGTGTTGATTTTATAGCTATTTTATAATTTATCCCAGACTATTATAAAATATATAAAACTGAGATATAAAGTATCAGCAATATAACTTTGCACTTTAAATAATTTTCAGCTACAGATTTTGCTTTTAGAAAACAAACTTTAAAGCAGCTGTTTTGTCTCTTTGTAAAAGGTTCTGTAAATGTATATACTTGGGTCCTTGATGGACTAAGGTGTTGTGACTTCCAGACTTTTCCAACATTTTAACCTTTAGACAATGGAACAAACAAACCTTTATTGTGCGATGTTTAATTCTTCATGTTTCCACACAGGACAGCAGAGTTTTAAAATTTTAAATTATGTATGCGCACACACACACACGCACACGCACGCACACACGCACACACACACACACACACATATATATATTGAGAAAATCATTAATGAGCTTTAAACTGGGGTGAATCTGTGAGATGAAGTAAGGAAATTTGGCACGTCTCAAACCGTATCCTTTAAGTTTTGGTAAAATTGTATAGCACAGCATGTATTTCCACTGTGATCTATAGGTGCTATCCACATAAGTGGGGTTGTTAATAGCGAGAATCACTGGAATGTTTCTAGTAAATCAACAGGGACAAGCTCCCCAAATACTCACAACCAAATGTTGATATAGAAGTAAAAATATATACAATAGAGTCACTTGTTTGTAGTTTGGCACAATGTTTTCCTTTTTTTTTTCCCCCTTGGGTAAATACCGCATAAACTACGTGTGCAACTGTGTGACTTTTAAAGTCTTTTACATAGAACATCGGATTAAAGTTTGCTTCCAAAGACTTATTCCCACACTTTAAAATTCATTTCTTTAAGCACTTACATGTCAACATACATACCACAAGGCATAGTTTGAAAGATATAAAATACAAACATCAAATGTCTTTCTGGAAAATGCGAGCCTCTTCTTCAAACACAGGTAAAACCCCAAATGCTGTTTCTGCTTTTAGGTGATTGTAGTCGGAACCCCTGCAGAAAAACCAAACAATTTACGCCATCTTAGTTAGCTTTAGTGCATGTCCCACAAAGGGATCATACGACTGAAACGTGTTTACATCATACTAGATGCCGTATGATGCGGAAAGAGATACAAATTGCAGGGGCGCTAGAAAGCACTCCTGAATGCTGCGCGATGAGATTCTGTTTCCCAAATGATGCTCTTTTTCATTAAACGATCTTGGCTTTTTGTCTGTGTAACTTTTTAATTCCGTCGAACATTTTTTCTTTTTGCAAAGCCCTTCCCTTCCCAAAATCATTCAAGAGCATGTTTTATTTAGTTCTATTTTCTCAGTAAGTAAAAACCAATGCTGAATAGCAGAAAACGTAGCCTCGTCGGAGCTGATCCCTAGTCAAGCCACGACCAAATTGCCCAATCTTTTGGGTGGCTTAAAGATACAGGGATTTTCATGCACGTTCATCTTTTCTTTGTAATTTGAGAGAGGGAATGAGAAAGTTCATTTCATGCAAACTTTTGCTTTCAAGAGGGAGCAGATGATGGACTGCGGGCTCGGCAGGTAGTAGGAAAGCCATTTTGGTGCAGTATTACCTCAGTTTTTCAAAAGAAGCTGTCCCAGCCTCATCCTTGTGGACCTGTTCTCGCTCCACACGCTTTCCCTTACACTTCTCATCTCTCAGGGCCTTGGAGCTGGATTTGTGACGATATAACTTTTTGTGTGTCGGTCCGTTATTGCCTAAAGTGCTCAGATTATTATACTTTTTATCAAAGAAGGCGGAGCGAGAGTCCTCATTATAAGCAGGCATGTTCGCATGACCAGATTCGCCTACTGCTGCTTTTCCGTTGCTTTTACTCACACCCTTGATGGACCTGTGATTCTTAGTGGCTCCCGGTGACCCGCCGGTGACCTTTTTCTTAGATTCCTGTGGTGTCCCCGCCAATATTTTGAGGGTTTTTAACTTTAGACTATTGGACTCGGGGGAATAGAAAACGTTGGGATCCCTATGGTGCTCCATGGGTTCCCAAAGGGGCTCTATGGAGGCCATCATGAATCTCTGCACGTCTGCCATACCAGAGGCAATGTTGGACAAGATATAGGAAGGCTCCTGAAATTCCCGCTGGTCATCATCCAGGAGGCTGTTGGTGTTGGTGCTCATGCTCATGTCACTCCAGCCCGGGCTGCTCTCCTTCCGCAAAGCCCAATCTCCAGAAAGTCCCTTCTGACTTGGCATTTTCATAGAGGCCCCAGTGCCACCATGCTGGGCACATTCGGCCAATGTCTTCCCTGTGGAGGAGATGCTGTTGATCTGACCTCCCCCACGGCCAATGCCAATTTGCATCTTCTCTCCATGGATTGCGGCCATGTATTTCCCTTTCTTTGTTGACTTAGGGACCTGGCGGGAGGTTTTACCAGATGGCTTTTCGATCCCTTTGTTGGTGGCTTTGGGGGATTTTTTTCTAGTGTTTTTCTGAGAAGAGCTTTGGTTCACAGTCCCATTCTTGCTGGGTGAACTTCTCTTTCTTGATTTTGACACTTTGTTGTTGGTATTCGTTTGACCAGATGGATCGTCGAACGTTGATAAGCAAGGGTTTTTGGGGAGCACGCTGACGGAATCCTCATCGTTGAACATATGAAACTGAAACTGATGGTTATTTAAAGCAAATCCATCCTCCCACTTGATCTTGTCCATATTGCCCAGTGGTCCTGGGGCACCCTCCTGGAACTCCTTCAGTGTTCCTAGTGTCTTCATACTCTCGCATCTGGTAATCTGAGGGGAAAGACTGGGGGTGTCAGGTGGGGACATCTCTGAGAGGGAAGAGTGGCGGAATTTGTCAGGAGTGAAGTTGGAGATATCTAACAGGTCACTGGATTCCTTTAGCGGGGCTACTTCATCGACGCTCTGCTGGATCACCAGCTTGGGGCTGCAATGGGCCAAGAAGTCATCAGCGATATCCTCATCGCCATCCTTTTCGCAAGACTTCAAGCTTAAGGAGCAATAATTGTTTGAGTTGACAGAGAGTGGGGCCATGGAATCGAAGCTGAAGAGTCGACCATCATCCATGTTGACTAGGCCCTGCTGAAAAGGAAAGCAGACCCCTCCGTTATTAAAGTGACATAATTGATAAGAGTCATCGGATGGCAGTTGTTGGCTGTCTTGCACAGAGGCATACAGGACCTTGTTGCAACTATTGCCACCACTATTCAGGCAGATTGGACTGTATGTTGTAGCTGTGGCATTACTTTCCATGGACTCTACTTGGGAGACTCCAAATTCACTGGATGGGGTTGGAGCTGTTTCTCTTGAGACTTCAGTCATGAATTCCTGGGAACCCGAAGTAGGCTTGGTGGGCCACGCATTTCCATAGTTGCTTGATTCTATTTTGAAGTTTTGGGGTGACTGCTGCAGCTCAGATTCGGAGGGCGAGGAATCCACGCAGTCCTGGGCAGGCTGCAGAGGTACAAACGACTTTTCTGTTTGAGCGAGGCTGCGTTCATTTTGCTCTGGAGACTGCTGAGTGAAGTATGAGATACCGGTATTATTTGACAAGTCGGAAGCATCTAGCAACGTCTGCAGATACCCTCCGGGAATAACAGGTATATTGGTGGCAACATTAGCGGATGATAGAGGTATTTCAGAAGAGCAGGTTGTCGGTAGGAAAGTAGAATTCTTAGCAACTTTTGCCTCATGGAATTCAGATGGATGGGAACCGTTGGAGGTCTCGGGAACAGCTTCATTCTTTAAATCAGCCTTGGAGGATCGCTCTTCCAAAAGAGGGCTCATGTGAACGACCGGCTTGCTTTCTTGCCCAGCTTTGATTTTCTTAGATTTTAATCGGGCTTCGCTTCTAAATTTGATTTTATTGAGCACCTTCCTCTCTGGCCCCTTAAATTCTGCGTCTTGGCCTTTGACTTTCGCTAAGTCAGGGCCTGCAATGCCATTCAAAGGTGATCCATTCGCACAGCTGGGGGCGGCCAGGGCTGCTGATTTCAGCATACTTTTCAGACTTCCGTCTTCTTTGCGACAGCTAGCTTGCTTCTGATCGCCGCAGAACGAAACCTGCTTCCCGCTTGCCGAAGTTTCCACGGATGAAATTCTTTGAATCCTGTGCCTGTTGCCAAGTTTGGATTTTCGTTTGCGAGCAGGTGGCAGGAATGACACCTCGAAGCTACCTGGTTCAAAGTTTTGCTTTGGGCCTAGGTGTGTCTTGCTGGCATCTGTGCTGCTGTTTCTCTGCTTCTTCGTCTGCCAGAAGCCCTTCAAGGGGGCCAGCTTGGAATATTTGCTTAGCTGATTCTCACTCAGATTCACTGTGGTCTCACTGGCATCTACTCTACCCAACTTCACCAGCATGTTCTTCTCACCTTTGAAGCGATTGATGATAATATACTTGATGATGACGGGGGGCTCTTTGCGGGTTACTTTTCTTCTTTTTTTGGGATGCCACTCGTCATCGTCTTCCTCTTTAGAACCACCTGGAAGCCATTCCTTCCTCTCATTTACTTTTACACCCTCCAGCGAGTCGACATCATATAGATAATCTTCACTGTATCTGACTTTTCTCTTGGCTCGCAGCCCATAGTTCTGCTGGGAGGAGGAGCTGCCAGAGTTAGTGTCCCGAGCCATATAGCGGCTACAGTCTTTGATCTCCCCCATGGCGTCGTAAGAAACCTCAATGAAGGAACTGTCATCACCGAAATTTCCTAAAGCCTCTAAGGAATTGGCAAGATGGCCCTGCTTTGGATTCTTAAATTGCCCTCCCTCAGTCCCACCGCATGGTTTATTTAAGGCAGATTTTTCTCCATTATCCTTTTCGTCTTTTTTCTGTGCACCTTTGTCTTCCTGTCCTTCTTCTTTGCCTTTCTTCTTGTCCGGGTGTTTATCTTCCTCCCCCCAGATGATGCTCACATCGGGGACCTTGAATTGTGAAAGATCACTGCTCTGCCTCAGGGCCCCGCTCTTAGACTCCCGCTTTGGGCAGGTAGTAAACACACTGGGGAAAAAGTTGAATTGGGCATCCTCCTGCATCAGAAGGGTGGTCTTATCTCGAACGTTGTCCTGGAAGGACTCATATCGAATTTTCAGGGAGCAGACATCACTGCCCAGTGTTGACTCGTCATCATCGAACATGTAGTTATCCACATCTTCCTCAGAGAACAGGTTGACGGACAGCTCATTCTTGGAGCAGAGATCGAGCAGTTCGATCTTACTCTCACTAATGAAAGTCTCGAAGTAACCCCAATCCTGATTGGAATTGGCCAGCAAAGCCTCTTCTGTATTGCACTTATCTAACAGTAACGCCTCATAATAACTTTTCTGAGCCGGATCCTCCAAGTCGATGTCAGCTTTCTCGACTTCTCGTCTATCTCCCGCCCTTGATTTCTGTAGGGGGAAGCCGAGGAGCTGGTCTGAGAGCAGCTGCTCTCCATATTTCATGTTTTCTCCAGCATTAATGCACTGAATCCCTATGTCAGAGACCGCACAGGTTTCATAATCCCTATGTAGATCGCCGACTTTAAGACTGATTCCTGGCTCAGGATCTACTGCATCCTTGGATTCCATGAAGCAGCCCAAGCAAGTCCGGCTTGGCTGCATGAGGCAGTCCCCATTCAGAGCTGACATGCCCGCAGGCTCCATTATGGCAAATGGAGCTTTCTCGCACTCATTGGGCAGTGACCATGTGTTTAGGCCTTTTGCAATGCCGGATGTGAGGGAGATGGCATTCACAGAAGCACTATTAGCAGCATGTTCAGGTGCTTCGATCAGGCCCAAAGGAGACGAGGGGCTCTGCATACAAGGCTTCTTGGAGGGAAGAGGCAGGAGACCCCTGGGATACATCACAGTCTCTTTCTGAGCCACCGGGACAGGCTGGATTGGTGCAGCAGCCTCTAGAGCTGTAAATGATTTCATTGCCATTTCCTGGTCCTCCGAGTCTAAAGAATAGGAAAAAATGACAGGAGGAAAGTTAAAGATCTTAGACCTAACTTATTCACTCTCTTTC